ACCCCGCCCGGGCACCCCCCACCCGTGGCCTCGTCCCGCCCAGTCCCCCTCCGTAGGCCCCGCCTCCAGCTCAGGCCTCGACCGACCGCGCCCTTGCCATGCCATGGTTACTCATGCCATTGCTTAGGGCTCAGATCCCCCTGATCCTCACTTCTCTTTTTTTGTCTTTTTTGAGACAGGTTTCCCTTGTAGTCCCAGCTGTCCTAGAATTCTCTATATTGCCCAGGCTGGCTTCAAACTCACAGAGATCTGCCTGCCTCTGCCTCCCCAGTGCTGGGATTCTTCTCCTTGTCTCTCTCCCCGTCTCTCTAGGCCATCTTAAGTCTCATTCTCTGTCTCCCCATCGAGCCTTGACTCTCTGCCCCAAATTCTCCTCTTTCATTTCCTGTTCCTACAATATCCTTTATTTAAACAACATCCAGACAGTACAGGCGTGATATTGCACACCTGTAATCCTCCATACTCAACAATCTGAGGCAAGGGGACAAGTTCTGGGCCAGCCAGAGCTACATAAAGAGACTATCTCAAAAACAGAACAGAAACTAAAGGATTACAGCTGCCCCTATGTTTCGGAGCCCTCTGGAGGTCTGACTTGGATCCATGTGGGACCGCCCAAGTGCTGGGTCCTCATGCATAGGTCACCACCCGCAGATGACAATCTGGGAGTGTGCTGGCAGGAAGTGGGGCCTGACCTCGTTTGCAGTCGCCCTCGGCTGGACCGGCAGGCCACCTACACAGAGTGCTGCTGCCTCTATGGAGAAGCCTGGGGCATGGACTGTGCCCTCTGCCCTGCCCAGGACTCAGGTACTGCACACCTCTACTACTTCTAGAGACCCTGTCATATAGGCCTCAAACCTAAGCCTTACATCTGTGCAGTATTAGAATCCCAGATCCCACCAGACTTGGCATCTTAACCTAGCTCAAAACCTTTGTCACCGACTTGCAAGTGTCAGCAAAGGAAAATCCCAAGGCCTGACTCAGGAGATCCCATAGATCGAGTCCCCTTGGCTCCCGAGGTCTCTCATATCCTTAATTCCTGGCTCTAGAACCTAGCTCTAGACACAATCTTTGAGATGCCCCTCTCCAAAATCCTGGGCCATTCCATCTCAAATAGCAGTTGCCCATGTGCACTATTCTGGCCCAGATTCTCTGGTCACAGCCCCAGGAGCTGCTAAGACCCACTGCCATGGGCCCCCTGCCTCAGGTGCCCAGGACTCAATACACACAGAGATCTCTGAGTGCTCTCACTCACACTCCTTAGGAACATGAACAAAACCCATAGTCCTGGGTCCTCAGATGTCCAGATTCCAGTTGCTCAGGGTCCCTCTATGCTCCCTGCCCCATCGAGACCCCAGCCAGACCTGGGATTCCCCATCCACAAAATACCTTCATCCAATTTCTTCAGGTCCTGAGCTCTAGATCCTATGGGTCAAATTCCAGTATCTTGAACTGTGATCCTTAGGACTCTGGATCCCCATACCTCAGAATCCCAGTATCAGCCCTGGACCCTCAGTTGTGGCTTTTGAAATTCCTGATCCTGCCTTACCAGCTCGGCCCTCTCTCCCCATCCTCTCAGACTTTCTCTTCTCTGGGGGAGGGGGGATGTGATTGGTGGGTGCTGATGGTGGTATGACTTGATTCCTGTTCACAGATGACTTTGAGGCTCTGTGCAATGTGCTGCGCCCCCCTGCATATGGCCCCCCACGTCCAGGTGGCTTTGGACTCCCCTATGAATATGGTCCAGACATAGGCCCTCCTTACCAGGGTCTCCCCTATGGGCCAGAGCTGTACCCACCACCTGTGCTGCCCTATGATCCTTATCCACCCCCACCTGGGCCCTTCGCCCGCCGAGAGGCCCCTTATGGGGCACCACCCTTCGATATGCCTGACTTTGAGGATGACGGAGGCCCTTATGATGAGTCTGAGGTTCCTGCCCCACCTGGCCGAGGTACTGGCTGGTCTTATCGGTCCCGGGATACCCGTGGCTCTTTCCGAGAGCCAGAGGAGTCCTCTGAACGAGGAGGCTATACAGGTGAGCAGTAGGGCCAATGATGGACTGCAGTGAGCAGCCACGACCACAGAGATGGAGCCGGTCGGAAAGGGGAGGGGGCTGGAGAGATGGCTCAGTGGTTAAGAGAATTGGCTGCTCTTGCAGAGGACCTGGGTTCACTTCCAGGTTCCCAGAACCCACATGGTAGTTAACAACAATCTGTGACTCCAGTTCTGGGGCTCCGACACCCTCTTCTGGCCTTTGCAGGCATTGCATGTGTGGGTGCACTTACATACAGGCAAAATAATCATACGCATAAAATTAATAATTTTTTTTAAAAAAGCAAGGAGGGGGATAGTGAGAGAGAAGGCAGGAGGCTGGTCAGAGTTAGAAATGGGTGAGAACAATAGAAAAACTTCTGGGGTTTACTCAGGCCTGAAATCCCAGCACTGGGGAGGACACAGGAGGATTACTGCAAATTTGAGGCCAGTCTGAGATGCACAGCAGAAGCTGGGTGGGTGAACACAGTAAATGTGCTTACCACACAGTGCCCCCTGCAGCCTGGGGTTGGGAGGGGCACCTTAGAATGATACCCATAGAGCCAGGGGAGCCAGGGGCCCAGGAGGAAGGAGATGAGATCTAAGGCAGAGATCTGAAGTCCCTGGATCCGTGTGTTCTCTGCAGGAACCCTGACTGAGTCCTTCGAGGGCCTGGAAGCTGAGGAGTGTGGGATCCTGGATGGCTGTGCCCATGGCCGCTGTGTGCGCGTTCCTGAAGGCTTCACTTGCGATTGCTTCGATGGCTACCGCCTGGACATCACCCGCATGTCCTGCGTTGGTGAGGTTGTGGGGGGAGAGGGAAGGGCAAAATCGTAAAAGCAAGCTTCACCAGAGAGGGTAGAAGCTCAGACCACAGATGGTCAGGAGCCGCATTACAGGCAGGAACCAGACCATCCATCCAAAGGGGAGTGATTTATTCTTGCTCAGGGGTGGGGCCTGACTGAAGAAGATGGGGTCAGAGTGTAAGAAGAGCAGGGCTCCAGTACAGAGCAGAGCTGGGCTTGGGAGCATGATGACGGGTAGAATCCTACAGCCGCAATTTCTTTCCTTTTCTTTCATTCTTTCATTCATTCTTTCTTTTTCTTTCTCTCTCTCTCTTTTCTTTCTTTTAGTTCATTATTATTATGTATGTGTATGAGTGTTGTGCCAGCATGTGTGTAAGTGCACTCGTGTCGTGCAGTGTCCGAGGAGCAAGAAGAAGGTGTCAGATCCCTTGGAACTGGAGTTACGATGGTTGTTAGCCACCATGTGGGTGCTGGGATTTGAATCCAGATCTTCTGGAAGAACAGCCAGTGCTCTTAACCTCTGAACCATCTCTCCAGCCCACAATTTCAGTTTTTAAATTTATTTATTTTGTGGTGCTGAGGATAGAAGCTAGGGCTTGATGCATGCTAGGCAAGCATTCTACCACTGAGCCACACCCCAGCCCTTCACTGGGGAATTCTAGGCAGGTGCTCTACCCCTGAGCCACACCCCAGCCCCTCACTGGGGGATTCTAGGCAGGTGCTCTACCACAGAGCCACACCCCCAGCCCCTCACTGAGGAATTCTAGGCAGGTGCTCTACCATTGAATCACACCTCCAGCCCCTCACTGGAGGATTCCAGGCAAGTGCTGATTTACAATAAGAGAGGCCTATGCATAAATGAGGTTTGAGACTGGAGAGATGGCTCAGGCTGAGAGTACTTCCTGCACTTCCAGACCACCAGAGTTCAGTTTCCAGCACTCAAGACAGTGGCTCACTACTACATGTAACTCCAGCTCTAAGGGATCTGATGACCCCTTCTGACCTCTGTGGGCACCAGTACAGCCATGGCAATACACTGTGACAGACACATAAAATAAAAATAAATTCCTTAAAAATTAAATAAGACTCAGAAAACAGACCCAAGTTTTCTGAGGTCTCACAGCCAAGAAACAACGGTGGGCTGGGCACCCAAAGACTGGGAGAGCTGCCCCATAAGAGAAACACTCAGCGTGTGCATACGGTGTGGCAGTGAGCGAGGAGCTTTCCATGCTGGGCTTCAGTAAGCACTGAGGTACAACAGAGCAATGACCACCTCATAGAGCTATTCGGAAGATGGGGTTCTGTGTTCACAACAATGTCTGCTCTAGTGTAAGCACTCTCTATTGTTTTGTGTGTTTTTGTTTTGTTCTTTTTTTGTCTTTTTTTGAGACGGGGTCTCCCTGTAGCCCCAGCTGGCCTGGAACTTGCTATGTAGATCAGGGTGGCCTTGAACTCACAGAGGTCCACCACCTCTGCCTCCCAAGTGATGGGACTAAAGGTGTGGACCACCACGCCTGGCTGTCACTTGCTATTGTTAATATCAGTATTATTATTATTATTATTATTATTATTATTCCTTTGAGGTCTCCCTATAAGCCTGAAACTCACTCTGTAGACCAGGCTGGCCTCGATCTCACAGAGATCCACCTGCTTCTGTTTCCCAAGTGCTGGGATTAAAGGCGTGCGCCACCCCGCCATGCTTATTTTCTTTTTTAAAATTATTTTGTGTGTCATTGCTACGTCACACATGTGGAAGTCAGAAGACCACTTTGTGGGGTCATTTCTCTCCTTCCACCTTTACATGGGTTCCAGGCGTACACAGCAAGCGCTTCACCCACTGAGCCATCTCCCCCAGACAAGAATTATTTTCTTAACAAACCTAGCGATGTAGAGGTCACCCACCTATCTTACAGAATGCAAAACCAAGGCTTAGAGATGTTAAAACACCTGTCTGGGCTCAAAGGGCCAGCAAGTGGTATGTACCACCATAAAGAAGATGCTCGACATTCGTGGTCCTTCACCCTAAGAGACCATGAAAATGGACTTAATCAGTCCGCGGGTTTGAGTTAACAATCCCTCTACCCCTTCCCCAGATATCAACGAGTGTGATGAGGCGGAGGCTGCCTCCCCACTCTGCGTCAATGCGCGCTGTGTCAACACCGACGGTTCCTTCCGCTGTATCTGCCGCCCGGGATTTGCACCCACGCATCAGCCTCATCACTGTGCACCTGCACGACCCCGGGCCTGAGCGCCTCTGCCTGGCCTCCCACTACGCCTGCGCACAGAACCCCCGTGTACGCCTGCCTCCTGCTCGCGTGTATGCACACGAGGATCTCAGCTGGTCTGGACTGTGGAGGGACCAAAGGGATGCCTTTCGGTGCTTTCATCACTCAGCCCCTCCCACCAGCACTCTGGGCCTGACCTGGTTCTTGGTTCCTGTCGTATTTCCTTGCCTTTTTATAAAAATTTCAATTAAAACACCTATTTTGTACCGTGGGCCTCTGCCTGCATTTCTTTGTCTCTAAAGCTGGCTCTAAGGTTTGTTGAATCGCGCACGCACGCGCGTGCGCACACACACACACACACACACACACACACACACACACACACACAACCAGCGTCCCTGGCCAAGCCCTGACTCTCACTTTCCATGACTCCTGCTTAGTCTTGCTTAGTCCTGTTTTGGAACCTGTCTCGGTTTTCTCTCCCCTGGTTTTATTTCCTCTGGATGTTCTCTGTCCATCTTTCTGTCCTTGTCATATGTTGTTTTTGTTTTTGTTTTTCCCTTTCATTCTTGCTCTAATCTCCAGAGAAGTTTTGCTTCAGATTTTTTTTTTTTTTTGTCATTTCTTTGGTTTGGTTTTTTGGGGGGATGGGGGGGAGGGCTGTTGTCTTACAAAAATATTTTATTTTTTACTTTTATTTTATGTGTATGAGTGTATTGCCTGCATGTGTGTAAGTGCACCTGTGTCATGCAGTGCCTGCAGAGGTTAGAAGAAGGTGTCAGATCCCCTAGAACTGGAGTTACCAATGATTATTAGCTGCTGTGCAGGTGCTGGGAATCAAACTGGGGTCCTCTGCAGGAACAGCCAGTACTCTTAACCTTTAAGCCAGCTCTCCAGCCCTGTTTATTTTTGTTTTTTCTTTTCTGGGGTTGTTATGTACCCTAAGCTAGACTTGAACTCCTGATTCTCCTGTCCTCAGCCTCCCGGACTCTAAGCTTACAGGTGTGTACCACCATACCCCCTTTGTTCTTAAGTAAACCTCCCTCCCAGCATGGAGTGGAACATCATGCTCTGTTCCCATCTGCAGGACAATGAAAACCACCTAGCACAGGAGGGGAGGGCTGTCAGGGAACCAGGGCTCAAGACTCCATGTTGGGGCCAGAGCCACACAACTTTACTAAAAGCTACTGAATTGTGAGTTGTGTGAATTACAACTCAATAAAGCTGGAAACACAAAATTTCAAAATGGGGGGGGGAGGTAAACACACCTGCCTAGGATCTAGAAGTGAGGGGCTAGGGGCCTAGCTCAGGGGTAGAGTTCTTGCCTAACCCCTTAAGGCTCTAGGTTTCCTTCTGCAAAGATGGACAAAAAATACTGGAAGAAACCTGTCCAAATGGGTTAGAAAGTTCCTCCCCACCTGACGGCAGGGAAGCCAATCCAAACAATAACCTCTTATTCATCCAACTCATAAAGATTTTCCATAGAATCTGGAGATGAATGCTGAGAACCAGAGCAAGCCCAGCCCTGGGGGTGGCAGCTAGGCTGGGCTCCAGGAGGCCAAAGACCTCAGTGATATTCAAAAATGAACCAGATAAAGTGAGGTGGTGTTGCAGACTGAGAAGTGTTGCAAAGGCCAGAGGCACGGCACACCTTCCTTTTGCTGTGTCAAGTTCCGTGTTGGATAATGTGGGTTATCTTTTGGGTAAAGAGGGAGGGAGGGAAGGTGTGAGGGAGGGATGGAGGGAGGGGAAAGAGGGGTCCATGATCCCTTTGAGAATCTATGGAAAGCTCTGGCTATTCATAGAAGAAAAAAATTATACAAAGGCTGGTAATGTGGCTCAGCACCTAAAGATGCTTTGCCACCAAGCCCGACGATCTGAGTTCCATCCCCGGGACCCACTGAGTGTACCCCCTCACACACACACAAATAAACATTAAAAAAAATCCATTGTAGATATAGGCAATTCACAAACATTTCTACTACCTATTATCCCTCCACCTCAACCTTGCTACATATAGTTGTCCTGGAAATGGAGATGAGGTGGCCCACGGTGCTGGAATCGACCATCACACACAGGCCTCTCATCCCCTCACTGGGCCTGAAGATTTAGCCAAGGATCTGTTTTTTGTTTTTTGTTTTTTTCCCCTGCCTACATCCCCCGCTTTAGTCCCCAGCCCTGGCTCTGGAGATTTTGGCACTGACTAGGATCAATGTGTTCTCTGGAATGTCCAAAAGAAATAATCCAGCTTGTCACAGCCAGAGTGACAAGCGCCACAGCGCCCCCTAGTGGACAATGCTTAGATGGTCATCATGGGGGGGGATGGCTAAGGAGGAGCAACAGGGCTCTTGAAGTGTTCTTGGGACTGAGGCTTCCTTGTCAAGGTCACTGCCACCATCATAAACAACTATGCATAAATAATGTTTCCGACCCATGTGTTACGCAAAGGGATGATGGTGTTATTAATCATCCTCTTTTCCTCTAATCTTAACTTTCAGGAGGATTGCCAGGAGCACAGTCTAAGCTACATAGTGAGTTCCCAGTCAACCTACAGTGTGAGACCCCGTCTACGCCCTTCCCACCAAGAAATCATGAATACTGGGCACAGTGGTCCAGATCTGTAGTCCCCGATGCTCAGGAGGCTGAGGCAGGAGAATCACTTAAGACCAGGAATCTGAGACCAGTCTGAGCTACATAGCAAAAACCTATCCTTTAAAACTGATCCTTGGGGCTGGAGAGATGGCTCAGAGGTTAAGAGCATTGATTGCTTTTCCAGAGGACCCAGGTTTGATCCCAGCACCCACATGGCAATTAATAACTGTCGTAACTCCAGTGCATTCGACGCCCTCTTCTGGCCTCTTTGGGCATGCATGGGAGCACTTACATACATACAGGTAAAACTCACGCATATGAAAAATAAATAAGTGAAAAAATTTAAAAGAAGCCAGGCATGGTGGTACAGGCCTTTAATCTCAGCACTTTGGAGGCAGAGGCATGCAGATCTCCATGAGTTCAAGGCCAGCCTGGTCTACATAGTGAGTTCCAGGACAGTTGGGGCTACAGGGAGACCCTATCTCAAAAAGCCAAAAAAAGGTTTTTTTGAAACAAAGAAGGGAAGTGGGGAAGGAAGGAAGGGAGGGAGGGAGCTGCTATTTTATATACTAATTAAAAGAAAAAAAAGACTGTGGCACTCCTGTCTACTTGGCTCTGCTGAGGGCTGATGGGACAAGCTTTCAGGCAAGGGAGAGATCACACAGTAAGACTGGAATCTAGAGTACAGGGAACGGCTGGTCTTGCTCATCTATATCAACATTTCGGGAGAGCTAAGCAGAGTCCCATGAGAGCTAGCTTCACCTCTGCCCTGCCCTCCCAAGATGGGGTTTCATGTAGCCCAGGCTGGCCTTGAACTCTTGATCCTCCTGCTTTCTACCTCCCAAGTGCAGGGATTATAGGCATGTGCCACCGAGAAGATTCATGTAGTGCTGAAGATCAAGTCCAGAGCTTCTTGTGTGTTAGATAAGGACTTTGACCATCTTCTCTGGTGCTCCCAAGAGTGACGTTCCCATGATGCAGCCACTTCCCAGTGGTCTCCACCTCCCAAGAGTTCCACCACCTTCCACATCTCCACATAGAGGCAGAGCTTTCAGAACAAAAGCTGTTGAAGGAAATAACACATCTGGAATAGCTAATCTTGGTTGTCAACTTGATACACCTGGGAAAAGGGAACTTCAACTGGAGAATTACCTCTATCAGATTGGCCTTGTGGCCATGTCTTGGTTGCTAGTTGATGTAGGAGGGCCCAGCCCACTGTGGGCGATACCATCCCCAGGCAAGTGGGCCTGGGCTGGATAATTAACGCAGCTGGATGTGAACCTGGGAACAAGCCAGTAAGCAGCATTTTTTCATGGTCTGTGCTTCAGTTTCCGCCTTGGGCTCCTGCCCTGACTTGATGGACTGTAGCCTGTAAGCTGACATAAACCTTTTTTTCCCTCCCCTAAGTTGGTTTTGGTCACAGTGTTAATCACAGCAACAGAAAGCAAATGAGGCCATCTGACCCAGAGATGGGGGTCAGATACCCTGGTCTAAAGCCCTGGACAACAATGTTCAGTGAGAACTAGAGAAATCCAAGATAAAATACTCTGTGGCCCAGTTAAGCCATCAATTAACTTTGGACCTGATTTTATTTATTTATTTATTTATTTATTTATTTATTTATTTTTATTCTTTGAAAATTCCATACATGTATACATATATCGTGATCCTATTCATCCCTCACTTTCCACTCCAGCTCCCCCAGTTATTGGGTTTTGTGACAGAGTCTCATGTAGCTTAGACTGGCCTCAAAGACAACATGTATCTAAGGTTGATACTGAACCCCTGATCCTCCTGCCTCTGCTTTCCAAGTGCTGGGATTACAGGTGTGTGCCACAATACCCAACTTTGGCCCTGAATTTCAAGAGTAAGACTGGGAGAAGGAGAGATTGCTCAGGGGTTAAGAGTAATTTCTGCTCTTCCAGAGGACCAGAGTTTGGTTCACCACACCCATATTGAGAGTCTCACAACTACCTATAACTCTAGCTACAGGAGATCTGAAATCTTCTTTCTATGGGCACCTGCACACACACACACACACACACACACACACACACACACATATATATATATATATATAAAGTAGGACCAAAGCCAGGGCTGATAACGTGTACATATAATCCCAGCACTTGGGAGGCTGAGGCAGGAGACTAGCCTGGGTTACATAGTAAGACCTTGCCTCAAAAAACCTAACAAAGGTGGGAGAGGGACTGGTGAGAGGTACAGCAGTTAAGCGCTATTCTTGTAGAAGACCCAAGTTTAGTTCCCGACACCCACATGACAGCTAACAACTGTCATTAACTCCAGTTCCAGGGAATCAGATATCCTCTTCTGACTGCTGTGAGCACTGCAGAACACGGGTACACTTACGTTCATGCAGGCAAAACACTCATACACATAAAATAAAAAAAAACAAAATGAACAAAAACTAGCAAGGGACAGGCATGATGGCTCAGTGGGTAAAGGCGCTTGCTGCCAAGACTGATGACCTGAGTTTGGTCCCTGGGACCCATAGAGTGGAAGGCAAGAAAGACTCCTTCCTGCTGGTCATCCTCTGTCTGCCACAAGTTCACCATGGCAACCCACACAGATAAATTAAATGAATGCAATAAAAAAATTTAAAAGCCCAACAAAACAAAAATAAACAACCTCCCAGAAATATAATCAACTCAAAGAGGC